CCGCCTTTGGTGTTTGAAGCCTGGTCCCTTTGGCCCTTCATGATCACACATGTTGGTGTGCTGCTTCCATGTGGGCTTTGTTGCTTCAGGGCTAGATGGCCGCTTGTTTACTTTCAAGCCTTTAAGTCCCCAGATGCTATAGGTCTTGATAGCCGATTACCCACCATTTTTAAGCTGCCACTCAAACTGTGCTGTCAAGCAAACCCACTACATTCTGCAGAGTGTTGTGATGGGGCGTGAGTGAGTTCCCTGGTTCAAATAGTCCATGGCAAATCACTGGCACAATCTAAGCGCCTTATTTTAATCACAATCATTATCTCTGTTGACTATAGTGGAGAGGGCTTAGGTCACATGTCCAGGATGCCAGTTGCAAATGTCACATTCAGTCAGTACATGGCACTTAGGTCACCATGGTCAAAGTTCCCTGCCAGTCTAAATGCTCCCTGGCTCTTTCCTGGTCATTTCTTGGCTTGCTGTTTGCAGGGACTATAAGTAAATATAGGACCCCTGCTGGGGAAGTGGGTTATGATCTGGCTTGTTAACCATGAGGGTAGCAGTTTGAAACCACCCGTTTCTCTGCGGGAGAAAGATGAGGCTTTCTACTCCCACAAAGAGTTACAGTGTCAGAAACCCACAGGGGCAGTTCTACCCCTTCCTACAGGGTCTCCGTGAGTCTGAGTGGACTCAATGGCAGTGACTCGGTTTGGGTATGTGAGGAAATCCTGGGACTGAAGAAGGGAAGTGTTCTCCTTAAGGGCCCACTCTGGCTTCCCTTGTAAGGATGCTGAGAGGATCGTGTGAGAACGGTCCGACTCAGCTTCTAGTCCTTTCCCTTACGTACTCTTGCGTGAGTTTCTGAACTCACTGGTATCTCAGCCTCCTTTCTCAATGCTGCTACTTAAGGGGGAAAAAAAGGCAGAAAATGCAAAACAGGAGGTGTGAGAAGAGGCGGGAACAGACTCGAGGGTGAGACAAAGGAAACCAGGCAGTGATTAGCGACATAGTCAAGGAAGTGGTGATGGCCATGCCACACGTGACTTAGAAACGGAGTGACACAATTCGAGACACAATCATGGACACAAACAATGCCATGGAGAGTAAATATTAAACTTGATTCCGTGCTGGCTCCTTGGTAGAATTCTTGTCTTCTAACATAGGAGATCTGGGTTTGATTTCTCGGCATTGCTCTTCAAGTGCAGCCACCACTGGCCAACCAATTGGGGCTTGCCTGTTGCAGGATGCTGACCAGGTCCCCACAGAGCTTCCAGACTCAGGGGACTAGGAAGAAAGCACCCCCCTTTCCTCTGCCCCACTCCCACCCAAATCAGTCAATTCCTGTGGATCTGAGCAGTTTTAACCCATTTCGCAGGGGGCCACATGAGTGAGGGCTGCATCTTGATGGCCTCTGACAAAAACAACCTTCCTCTTCCCATTGCCCTCACCCATGTCTCTTATGCTCGCACTCACTGCCATCCTTGCCAGGGAAGGATCAGAGTGTGGCAGCAACGAGGAGGAGAAAGCAAGCTTAAGGACAAAAGTAGGAATGAAGGGCTTCACAGTTTTGAAGCACCCCAAACTGTCCACCCTCATCATGATCTGGGGTCCACATCCTTCCGCAGCAACCTCATCAATGCCCTCTTGACCTCCTTGTTCCTCAGAGTGTAGATGAGAGGGTTGAGTGAAGGCGTGCCCACCGTGTAGAAGAGGCCAAAGAACTTGGCCCTCTCTTGGG